AATTGATTACCAATAAAAGTGGTATTCTTACCTGGAAAAAAAAACGGCCAAAATACCGGTTTTTAGGTAAGCTTACCAGTTTATCTTGGTAAAATTACCAACAATTGGTAAAAAAAGTGAGATGGCAAAGGTACCAACGGACCTTGGTAAAAACGCCGAGAATTTTTTTTCAGTGCAGATAAATGTGGCAGCTGCGGCCTGCATCAAAGCTTTAAAGACATCATGGCGAGGAGGAGCAGTCCACGACTAGTGGCTAACGAGGCTGCCGGCGGCCATTTAGGGGTGTCTTTTTTCATTAGTAACAAAGCGATTCCTTTCAATCCTTGCCAAATAACAATGCTTCATCATTAGATTGAATTAATTGAACGCCGAACGGAATCCGCTCTTTCTCATAGAGACGGCGGGGAATGCAAAATAGGAGACGAGTAGGAATGAAATCTTTGAATTACGGCGTTGGACGAAGAACCGAGAATCAAGGCTGCCTAGGAAGAACGCCGCATGAGCCTTTAGACGTTGGCGAATCTTCTTCGATAAAACATGAATTTTCTGGAAAATCTGTGAATATTTTTCTGCTACTTTTTCAGAGAATTTTATTCACAATCGGATCTGAATTATCTGAAAATTTCAACAGAGAATATGTATAACTCTCCTCAAAATTTAACATTTTACAGGAGGAAATTTGGCAACTCTCGAATGTTCATACGACGTTTTCCCTCAGCACCGCGGAGAAGAGCAAGGTCAAATTTTCCCTTGCCTTTTTCTCGTCCTTTTTTTGCAGTTAATAAATTCTTTCAGAGGAATTTATGGCTCTCATTTGAATTTTTCCTCTATTCCGCGGATATCTAGTGATAGATCATTGTTCCATGCCCCTCTCACAATCAGCTTCTTTAGAGTTTCTGAAGAGAGTCCCGTGGAATAATTTTATGCTGGATGCTCCATTGCTCCATGCGATTGGATCCGCGGGAACGGCCCTTTACTAAATTAAGCGGAATACTTTCAGAGAGCTGTTTCCAGGTACTTTCGCGAATTTCCAAATTGGTGAACTTGATTTTTTGAATAAAAGTGCTCTTCTTTGACTCGAATATGGCAGAATATTGACGGTGATCCCAAAAAATCCGTATCTCGGTTGCGGTGTTTTGAAATCTCCGTTACTATAATTTTATTTTTTAAACGGAGATCGAACCAACTACATGGCTTGAAGTTTTCAGAAGAAACAAGCAGGAAGCTCCAACGCATTGGCGTCGGAGAGCGGCTCTGGGGGCAGTAGTTGTAGTCAAGAATGAGGGCCTAGACACATTTTGTCATTGATGTACAATCCGACAACTGTCGATTCATGTTTTGTAACTTAGCAGATTTACGTAGCCGGTGTATAAATGTGTATTGGGCTTTGATATGGCGAATACATGGCATTATCACTTGTTGTATACTTTTAATTTTGAAAGCTCTTTGGAGGTCCGCTTCCTAAAAAATCTCTGGTTGATAAGTCGTTTAGCGAGGCTGCAAAAAATTTGCATTTTTATATCTGAAAGTGTAGGTATTGGTTTTTTGTATAATTGTTTTTTTGGATTGCTGGAAAAGTAACGCATACTTCTATAATTTAGGACTGAGTCAGGGAAATATAAGGTTCGTTAAATAGTAAATATTCCTAGTACCGTGTGACACTATTGTTAACGAAAAGTTTTTGCAACTTGTCAAAGAGGTTGTTGAATGATCTTCGAATAACTTTTGATGAGCTAGAGGTAATGGTTCTATCTGCAGCTCGTGGACTTCTGTACGATATTGTCCAGAATCATCTAAATTTTCAAAAAGTGTCCGCTTGTTCGATACCCAATTTGCTCATTCATGCATACAAGGAGAAGCGCATGAAAGCTTTAGCAGACATTTTGGAGATGAATCAAGAATTAGATGAAGAATTTATGACTTAAATCACGGCACCTTAATCACGGGATGACCTTAATTACGGCAACTATTTATTGTCCATGAGATGCAGATGGTTCCATTTCCCTAGCTCATCAAAAGGTATTCGAAGATCAATTTCATCAGCCACCCGTACGAACCACGTTTCTAGTGACCCGTACTTGCTTCGCACGTATGAAACATACAATCAGAGAAAACAGAATTCATCTTACAATAATCAATAATCAGTAGGACATGAATCGTTGCGATGTATAATACGACATTATAATGCGGCATTACTATTGTAATTCATTTTAATGGATTAGGGGCATTATAAATCATTATTGCCACGTCGGAATGAAATGTTGTAGACTGAATTGAAAAGCATGTTGGCAAAATTTATTATAAAAATAGTATAACATGTAGGTACATAACATAAAGGTAATACAAATTAAATGATTAGAGCGTGTATATTTCATTACATTATAGGTATATTACAATCATTTTTGTCATTGTTGGAAATTTTGATAGTTTGAAATTTGATAGTTGATAGTTGATAGTTTGAGAGTTGAAAATTTGGTTATTTTATTTAGTTAAGGTGATTCGATAGACGCCATATTTTGTGTCAGAATGGCATGCGACATATCCCATCAATTGGTTCCATTTTTTCATTTACTCATCATTTTTCTCCAATTTTAAGTTTCGCAATTCTGTTTTCAGGAGACTAAAGCACTCACTTATCAATTTGTATATTTATATTGAGTTAAGGGTAGAGACGTATTCCTCACCGGAATTGAGGAATGGAGGTGTTACAGTAAGTCCGGCATTAGGTTCCATTTCGACATCAGCGACGATCAACGCTACGATACTGGAAGCCAGTCTTCCGATATTAAATCCCTAGCGGGGAAGAAAAAAAATGCCTAGATTTCGCTAAAAATCCCTAAATCCCCAGATTTGCTCAAATATACTTAAAAAATCCCTAGATTTTGCAAAAAGCGCCATTTTTAACGAAGAATCATGATGTCATTCGATGTAGCGATTTGCAATATTTAAATCTGATTGGCTCGTTTGAATTTTGGCGCTCTCTGAAAGCAGTGCTAATCCAGACCAATAAAATGAAAGAATATTAGTTGATTTCTTATTATTAACAGGTTGAATGCAGTTGAATGTCAAGTACATAAGTTCACAAAGAATATTTAAATTTTGTACTTACGATATTGGACTTGAATTTGATTTTCTCTTTCTTTTAAGCTTCAAATTGGATTGATATGATTTTTTTGCATTCTTTATGAATGAAGATGTCGATTCATTTCGTGCATGAGATTGCTCCAAAGCAGATTGTACTCAAGCAGCTGCTCTCCGGAGCAATGAGTCGTAGCAGCGGAGAGAAAATATTTTTCTCCGTAGCACTAACTAATTGCCCCGGAGAGAAACTTTCCTCTCCCAAATAGTAACTTATTCCTCCCAGGAGGAATGAAGTTTCTCCTAAGCACCGATTAATTGCTTAGGAGTGATTGTATTCCTCTCCTTCGCACTCAGAATGAGTTTACGGTATAGTTCACATTTAAATTAAGGAAGGTTCAAGAAAATTCTCAACATCGCATCCTAAAAGAGAAACTTTTTTTAAAATTGAGTTCGCAAACGCTGGAAACGGATCAACTCTTTTCAAAATCAGGAGATATAATTCCTCGACATGGCACAATTTAATGTAGGTGTGTACCTGTCTCAAAGGTTACAGCATTCCGAATGTATTTTCTTTTCTTTTATGTATTTTTTTATCAGCTTATCGTTTTCCTCCTATTCAGATACACCCAAACACCGAGTTTCAAGCGAATCCATTGGCAAAAAGGCGAGGTTGCCCATTGTTGAAATAAAAAAGACGTGACTTCAAATTGGATTGATATGATTTTTTTGCATTCTTTATGAATGAAGATGGCGATTCATTTCGTGCATGAGATTGCTCCGAATCACTTATGGATATGATCTCATTTTCAACGTCAATATTCAGCCTGTGTAAAGAAAAAAATAAACTTTGTTTCTATTAAATATATATTGGGATTCAATCTCATAGATACTTAATTTTGAATGTTGAGATTTGTTCAGACGTCGTTTACTCAATACATTCACAATAATGCAAGAGAAAGAAAAACATTTTTATTAAAAAAAACTTATTAAAATTTTTAGATGTGTCTTCATTTGTTAAAGAGAAACGAAGGTTGTACTAGATATGATTCAAGATAAAAGATACCAACACCAGAAAATATTCTGTCGAGCTCTCGGAAAATAGGGCCGATTTGAAGGTTTTTAGCTCTAAATCAGCTGAAAATTGCTGTTTACGGAGCAAATATCCAATAATTATGGCTGTACTCTTTATTTTTTGAGTTTGTGGGGGCGTTTTCCTTCCTTCATTCCCCTCCGACGACCCTCGCTCCCCTCGCCCCCTCCATAAAAAACCATTTACACCCCTGTATATGCATGCTGCTTTTCCCGCTGCTCCTGAACGATTTTACTGATTTTCTCTTAATCACCGGCCCCATGCCTCGCTTTGCCTGACCAAGGATTCTCTCTATTTTGTTCCCTTTTTTCCATCCAGGGAACAGGTATTTCTCTAATACCTACCTGCTCTAGGATATGGGGTGCCGTTAGTTACTCTTCCTTACCTACTTTGTCAACTGCAATCACCCGCTTCCACCAATAATTCTTTTGTCTTCTTTGTCTAAAGCTTAGTCTTTAAAGTTCAATAATTGGCCAGCTAACATATGGACGTAACTACTTTTCGAGGTAAGCTCTGTTTACCGTATAACTCGATGCTTTCCCGGGCTCATCTCTTAGTGTTGTTACGCCTTTATGTCAGCCAAGCGACGACAAGTTAGAATGAGGAGCGTGTTCATAGTCGTTCCTTGAAAATTGTCCTTTCAGGAGTGCTGAAAGTTGTCCATTATTGTGCCTGCAAAACTGTAGACATACTCCAAGCATAGCGCCGTTTCCCCTATTTTTAGTCTCGCGTTCGGTTTTTGACCTGCGAATCTCGCTAAGCTCCGAGATGCGTATGCCTAATTGCTGCGTAATGCCATTGACTAATTGCTCCGAAGAGGAAAGTTTTCTTTCCATGGCAATTACTTAGTGCCAAAGAGAAAAATATTTTCTCTCCACTGCTAAGACTATAATTGCTCCGAAAAGAAAAATTTTCTCTCCGGAGCAATGAGTCGTAGCAGCGGAGAGAAACCAAGCAACCGTAGCAAGCGGAGTGTTGTTACGCCTTTATGTCAGCCAAGCGACGACAAGTTAGAATGAGGAGCGTGTTCATAGTCGTTCCTTGAAAATTGCCTTTCCATGAGTGCTAAAAGTTCTCCATTATTGTAACCGGATCAGTACAAAGCTACCTCATCTACCGGAAGTACATTTCCGAAACATTGAACTTTGTGAAGAAAATGATCGTGCAAAGCGCCTGCAAAACTGTAGACATACTCCAAGCATAGCGCCGTCTCCCCTATTTTTAGTCTCGCGTTCGGTTTTTGACCTGCGAATCTCGCTAAGCTCCGAAATGCGTATGCCTAATTGCTGCGTAATGCCACAGACTAATTGCTCCGGAGAGGAAAGTTTTCTTTCCATGGCAATTAGTTAGTGCCAAAGAGAAAAATATTTTCTCTCCACTGCTAAGACTATAATTGCTCCGAAAAGAAAAAATTTCTCTCCGGAGCAATGAGTCGTAGCAGCGAAGAGAAAATAGTTTTCTCCGTAGCACTAACTAATTCAGTTCGCAAATGCTGAAAACGGATCAACTCTTTTCAAAAACCGGTAGAAATAATTCCTCGACATGGCACAATTTAATGTAGGTGTGTACCTGTCTCAAAGGTTACAGCATTCCGAATGTATTTTCTGTTCTTTTATGTATTTTTTATCAGCTTATCGTTTTCCTCCTATTCAGATACACCCGAAACCGAGTTCCAACGAATCCATCGGCAAAAAGTCAAGGTTGCCCATTGTTGAAATAAAAAAAAAGAGAAAAAAAATTGTATATTCTTGAAACTATCACATTTCCTGGCAGGGAAAAATTGCATACTTATTCCAAGCTTTACAGTTAATTTAAAATTATTCCTATTTTTATAAAAAACAAAGTTGCAGGTTTGTACTTACGATAAGTCACGTGACTTTGATTTTATCTTCTTTTTAGGCTTTGAGTTCGACTGATGTGTTTCAAGATTTTCGATGAATGAATTTTCTGCTTCATTTACTGGATGCGTAATATCAGAATCATTGTTCGATATATCATTTGCAACGTTCACCCTGTGTAGAGGAAAATATAAGATCGGTTGTTTTAAAAATAAATTGGAATTCTACTACATGTATGCCACTTGGGTTGAACAAAATTCTAAAAAGTTTTTTTTTAACTATGAGCGCAAAGTTTGACATCGACGAAAATTGGCCAAAGTGACACTCTTACATCCCTAATGAACATACTTGAAGGAATTTTTTGTCCTCCGAAAGGATCGGTTACAATAGCGCGTTGAATGCTGAAAAACCCGCATTTTTCGCCAAAATTGGCCTTCAGACCCATGTTTAGGCCAGTGGTAGACCCCAAAATAGATCGGAAATGACCAAACCATTATGCATTCCGTAAAATATAGACCTTCAATGACCAAAAAAACGCAGAGTTGAGGAATTTCAGGGTAGGCCCAAAAAAGGCCCTTAACGATACCCCTCCTTTGTCAATTTGCAGTATTAACAGTTGGAAAGCAGCCAATAGATAATTAAGATGCTTAAACCACAATTTAAGGGGCACCTACAGCCGCATAGTAAACATAATAGTAAACTTAATAATACTCACGTCTGTAAAAAAACAAATATGCATAATGAGATTTTGGAAAGTGTAATTTTGTTTCACAAGACTAATGCTCAAACTACAACATTTTAAGTGGTGAAATTTTGTTAATTTGCAGTATTGCCAGTTGGAAAGCCGCCAATGGGCAATTAAGATGATCAAACCACCTTCTGAGGAACATCTAAAGTCACACAATAAACTTGATAACAACGCAAGGTTGCAACTAGAATAGAATTAACTGAAATTTTTACTTACAGTGCATAGGTTTCACTCGATTCTATTTTCTTTTCCTTCTTTGGCTCGGCGTCATACGATTGTGCAGATGTTTCAATGCATATAGTATTGTTTTGGATCGGGGTGGATTCATCAAAACCAGGAATGTTTCTGCATTTGGTTATAGCTGTATCTCTGAAACAAGCAAAAAATGGAGAGTTTCTTAGGTAGATTAATAAAGCTTCTGCTAAAATTTTTTTATTGGTTGCCATATTATGACAAGAAAATTAAACAATTGGTTATAAGGTGAAACAACAATAGCCATGAACTGAAATAATAAATGCAAAGCATTGCAAACTTGTTACTTATTATCATCGCATTAAGAGTTGGCAAACAAATTTTCTGATAGTAAAATGATACATTATCATCCAGTTACTTCCCAGGACATTGAAAAACAAATTACAGTTCAAGAAGACCACACAACTTCTGGTTACTAACAAATTAAGCCACCACTAAATATTAGGTATTCAAAGTATTAACTCCTAAAATGGTCTTATCAAACGTATAGATGTCCAAAACATTCCTCAATTTTGCATATCAACTAACACTTACATATTGAGTAAAAGCAGATTTCTTACCTCTGAATTATTCTTTGACTGCGTCGACTCATTACCTGAAATGAAAATTAAAACAGCATTATATTTTCTACATTTTTTAAGTCAACTCAAAAACTAAATTTTTGAAATTCTATAAATACATTGAGGCTTTAAAAATAAAAAAGAAGAGCAAGACACTAGTGAGGAACTCTTGAACTATAGGTTAATGAGCTATAGATTGTGCATAGAAATTGCCAGTCTAAAGTTTCAAGAATGAGAAAATAATCAGCCCATGAGTGGGTCCAGAATGAGGGAGAAGGAAAAGTTGAAATAATTTTACTGGAAGGAGGGATAAATGAGGTACTCACCGAATTTATTCGTACAGAACATTCAAAAATCCCGTGAAAAAACAGCTCACAAATAAAAGCAAATTGCCATAGAAACTTCTTCACGAAATCACACACACAACGAAGAACGAGGCGCTACAGACGAGTCCGTCCAGGACAAGTTAAAAAATTCCCATGAGCCGAGTGCCGTAGGTTAAGGGCCCGTTCGCCAAAACTAATCGGAACTGTATGAATGAATTGCTCCTTTTAAAAATCAAAACAATATCGAATTGCGATATATTACACAGTTAAGATAGGGCTATGTCCTGTCGTAAGCGGCGACATACAGTCGATATCATTTCAATAATCGCCCCAATGGCCACGATAGTTGTTAGACGTTTACGGTTTCCCTGGTAACCTTTGTTTGCTATCAGCTGATATCAAGTAATATGACTAGGAAGCTCCAACCCAGTGGTTAAAGCTTCCTTAACCGCGAAAACTTTAAAATTCAAATTTTCAAATTTTGAACGTAAAGTACATTTTTTCCATCACGAGATAAAAGCACAAACAAGTTTTGAATTGTTGACTGTATCACCATGATTCCAAAAATACAATACACAACATAGCATTGACTAACAATAAAACAGTATGCAATAAAATAAAGTCATGACAAGGAACATAGCCGAAAATGGCGCCGATTCCCATCAACCAACGCGCGGTCTCTACAATGTAACATGCTGCATTGATACTCCCCAGCTGGGACCGTCCGGAATAGCAGCTCTAGTGCAAGCACCAGAGCCGCTAAAATTACAGACTTTTTAAGAAAATGACGTTCAGTAGTTTTCAATGTAGAAAATATAATATGACAGGAAATCTGCAACGCCGCACACCAAGATATGTATTTTTGCAGTTTCATCATTGATATGCTAAAATTTTGTTATGTTCCGTACGCAGCTTTAAAAAGAGGTCCCTCTTAAAGCAGTGCTCGCTGTGCTTACGAGCTCCAATAATTAAAACCTTATAATGTCGCTCCTCTGACGTAAGGTCGTGTCTCAATTTTCCCATGAGCCCTTATCTCCGTATAACTCTATATATGCTCTCTGTATGACTCATAAGCAAACAGAGATACGCCCTTACGTTAGAGGAGCGACGATCATGGTGCGTGTCTTGTGAATACATTTTCTCGGCTGAGCACTTACTGTCCTTTGACCTCATACAAATTTCAAGCCGGAAGGTTTGATTTCAGGAACTGCTTTTGTAAATATACCTTGTAATTCTCACACTGGAAAAAAAAACACATTGGATCTAGAGTCGAGACTCTTGAAAACATTGACAAGAAAAAGGACTCTTGATTCAATCAGATTTAAGCTTAAATCAAAAGGAAATCCGCTCAAATTAAGAGGCTTGGTTCTTGATTTAAGCTTAAATCTGATTGAATCAAGAGTATTTTTTCTTGTCCATGTTTTTAAGAGTCTGGACTCTAGATCCAATGTGTTTTTTTTCCAGTGCATTCTCTTTGCCATTGAGCTTTTTCGAGGGCTTTCATGGCGTTTACTCTGTCGTTTCCCGTATAAACCATAACGAAATTGTATCAAAATTCAGCAAATAATCCAGCGCTTGTCCCTCTAACAAACCTGGTATTTTCCACACTGGCCAGTGGCCAATCGCTAGGCTTGCATTTATGCAAGTAATCCAGGCTTTTATCTTGTTCCAATGCCCCGTTCATCACCAGTGGCATGGGGTACTTGGCGATTTATCGAATTTTCTGCCATTCTAACCCACGGAAAAGCATCGATTTATAGGGTGTTCGCAACGGACCCCTCAATAATCGATTCTTTTTCATAGCTTTAAATGGGAAAATATCGATAATCGAGCAGTCACGCTTCGCCACTGCTCATCACCACGCTGAGGATTAACGCGTGAATTCGCTTTTTCAACACATAATCCTGAAGATTATATCATTGTTTTGTTTTTGTGTCATCCCCTTTATACCCCAGCGTAAATTTTGACTGTGCATTTTTATGCATGCTTTTTGCCCTCTCGGTTTAATCCGTCTGATGACACGTAATTCTTTCATTTCCTCAAAACACGGTTGGATTTTTTGATTAATGGCTACTTTCATTTTGAATTTCAGACGGGAAAATCTTTCTAATCAAACCGGATAATCTTGGTCCGAGTTATGCGGTCGTATTTATGATTTTGTGATAGATTAAGTATTCATAGATTTATTTCTTCAAATCCCTATGAATGCCCTTATCTTGGTCAAAATGTAAGAAGCGATAGTTCAATGTTTATCCGGTGACAGGCTTTCTCATTGCCTGAAAATTTGATTCAATTTTGCCTGCATCTATTTGGTAAAAAAAGCGCATTTCGATAGTGGAATGCATGAATTGAGATTTGCTAGTCGCTTCCAAGTATTTTCCAATGAAACGATTACTTAGAAAACATAGCCAAAGCATCGTTTACCGAACACTTGAATCAACGACGTTGTCATCAGATTTCCTGCATTTTTTAGCATATGCAACACGAGCACTCAGGTGATCGAATAGTGTTATCAGGTTTGATCAGGAGTACTGAAAGTTTATGTGCTATGAGAAGTGAGTTCATGCCTTTGATGCGCTGAATCAGCAGTTGCTCTCATGCAAGCCTTTTGCGTCATAGCTAATGCCAACAAAATGAAAAATAAGAAGTTTCAAATTTGAATTTGAATTCGATCAACTTTTGGCGGTAAATGGGCATATATTTACACCAGAAGAAGTCTTATTGGGAATGTAAATGAAAATTGTCAGGAAAAAACGAGAGTTCCAACAAATCTAAAAGCTCGGGAGCGTTTGAAAGCGTTGTGAAATTTTTAAAATACTTACAGAAAGCTACGGAATTTCACCTAAATCTAGTATCCTTTCTCCGTTTTGTCCGGAAAGAGTGTGCTAACATTGCAAAATCGTGAGTTAAAAAAACGCTGACTATGCGAGTATAAATATTAAAGCCGAACAGAGCGGAGCGGCGTGCTGCCAGCGCGAGAGGCTCACTGGCGCCTACAAACCTAAGTGGATACTTCACGCATTGCGCAATGCTGGAAGTATCCACTTAGGTTTGTAGGCGCCAATGCGCGTTTCGTGCTGGCCGCCCGCCCGCCGTGCGGTGGCCCCTGAAGCAACTATTTCACAACAGAGGTGTTGCACAGTATTATGCGAAATTGAACGTACTAAGAATGACAGGCATCCTTTAAAAGTACAGATCTTTCTTCGCAAAATGAATCAAGATACTTATCGTACACAGGAAAAATCTAAGAGACTTTTGCTGAGGCAAATAAGGAGGTTTATCCGGTTC